GCTCCGCTGGCTCTATCCCTGCCTGCCCTCCAGGATGAGCCCGGAGTATTTCCTGCGCTCCTTGCTGCTCATCATCCTCGCCACCTTCTCGGCCAACGCCAGCAACTGGCTGTGAGTAGCCGCGGGGCGAGCGGGGGCGGGAGGGGGGGGGGATGTGCCGCAGCCGCCGCCGCCGCCGCCGCCACTTGTTGATACCCCCCGGGGGCGGCGGAGCAGGTGCCGCCGGGGTCGAGCAGCACCGGGGACCGACACCCCGCACCGATGCTGCTCGGCCCCCGGCGGGGCATCAGCCTCCCGTCCCCATCGCGCCGGGTACCCGCTGTCCCCGCTGACCCCCGCACCGGTGGCGGTGGGGGTCACAGCCCGCATCCCCCGGGCAGGTGGGCTGCAGGGGCTGCCCCCCCTCCCCAGACCCTGGGGTCCCGCCTGTTATCGCGTCCGGCTGGACCGGGGCTGGGTATCGAGCCCCTTTTTTGTCCTTAAGTTATAAATCCGGATGACGCCGGGGGAGGACGGAGGTCGGGACGTGGGGTCAGAGCAGGGCCCGGGGGCTGGCGAGGTGCCGGCGATGGCCAGCGGTCCAGGGAAGGATTTGGCAGGGCTGGGGCAGCCGAGCGTGCCGGCCCCGGGGATTTGCGGCGGACAGGGCTGCCCGTGCCTCGGACCCCCGGTTCCCGGTGGGAGGACGGGGGGCCGGGGGGCTGCTGCCTGCTGCGGAGGAGCCCGGTGACATCGGGAACCCGCTGAACAAACACTGAAATAATGTGTAAGGTAAACAGGGGCGGAAATCGTTCTGGAAAATTCCTGCGTGTTTGCCAAGGCGGTGGGACTGTCTTCTGGGGAGACCCCCCCGGGGCAGAGGGATGGAGCACGACAGCACCTTCCCACCTAACTTTGAAACGAAGGGGCTGGTTCCTCCTAATTAGTCTTCTCTGGTGGGAGACGGTGCTTCCCCTGCTCCCAGTGTCGCCGGCTGCCGTGAACTGATTAGTTCCCAGTGCAGGCACCCAGCAGACCCGCTCTCAGGCTGGGAAGGTGGGCCCTCTCCATCTCCCCTCCCCGGGTCTCCATCAGCAAGGACAGGTACGCCTGGGGCTGCTGGCATGAGACACCCTGTGCCTCTCCCGACACCTGCGCCCAGGTGGGCACGGTCCCACAAGCACATTCCTGGTGCAAGGAGTCCTTTCCGCGTCCAGACACAACTCCCGCGTCTCCTGCCTCCACGTTTGGCTCGCTGGAGGCTGTGGGTTTTGGGGGATGCTCCCTACGGCCTGGATAAGGGCCGGGTCAGCGGCATTCCTGCCCATGGGAAGAGGTGCTCGCCTGTCGGTAGCTGCCCGGGATGCGTTCTCACTTTGTCCTCCTCCCCTCCTCCTTTGCCAGATGGAGCCACTTGCGCGCCACGCGTCTCCAGCAAGTGGTGGGTGGATCATAGCAGCTATCAAGGTGGTCTTTTAAGCTGTCACGCTGCTGGTGAAGGTATATTGGGAACTGTGGGAGTGTTTTTCCTGCAGGGAGAAGGTCCTGCTGAGGAAGCCCTGCGGGACGATGGCAGGTCCCTGGGGAGGAGCAGCCTGGGCTGCCCTGGGACGGGCACGGGGAAGTGCCTGGCAAAGGGGGGGTTTCATGAGCGAGGTGGACAAGCCGCCCGGTGTGGATGGGCAGAGGTGGGACCCCCCTGGTCCTCAGCACCGCCGGCAGCTGGGGTGGTATTTGGAAGCCAAGGCGGAGGGGTGTTTGGCCGCAGCAGACGGGGAGGGCTGTGTGCAGCCGTCCGTGCTGGCGAGGCGAGGGGTGGGCGCGGGGGGCTCGGCCGCCCCGGAGCAGAGGGCTCATTCCTGCCAACAGGGGAGGAAAAGCAGATCCATTTCCGTGCGTTTGAAAGGAAGGGGGTCAGCTTTTTTTGATGTTGCAAATGTATGGTGATAAAAGGATCGTCCCCCGCTCGGTGCTTTTTATTCTTTGCCTTTAGGATTAAGACAATTCCCATTGTTTATCTTCTCACATCAGAAACAAAGGCTGCCGGAGGCAATAAACGGAGTTAGAAGGATCCCAGGAGTTATCAGATATTCGAGGAATGGAGAAGCCCCACGCGTGTGGGCTCCGGCGAGCTCCGCTCTGCCCCGGCGCCGCTGCCAGCCCGTGCCCGGCACTCGGGGGACGGAGCTCTGCACAGAGGTGTGTGCGCTGGGTGGCAGCGCGCGGTGAAGTTTGCTTTTCCAGAAACCTGCTGGATTAGTGATTAAGCTCCGTTGTGACTTTTTCTTCCTCCTCTCCCTTCCCCC